GGTGCCCTATACTTTATCTGGCAATCCTACCCTACAACATTTGAATTTGTAACCTTTGGCACAAGGGAACAGGCACAATAGAGGTAAGCACAGAGGATGCCCAGTAGTGAAAGACAAACTAAATATATATTTTAAACAAACAGATCCCAGTGGTGAACGGCCTCTTCCATAGTTCCTGACATTAATAATGGTGATCCTAAGTTAACATTTCCCCAAAGTATTTCCTAAAACACTAGTCTGTGACAACGTTCCGTCGAAAAAGAGTTTTTTACTAAAATAAGTTTGGATAATGCTATATATTGTCTTATTGTTTTAGAATCACAATGTATATTAACTAATTAAGGAAGCAGAGAAGTCCTACAGTAATGAAATATATTTTATCTTATATAAATCAGTGTTTCTCAAGCACATAACCATGGAACATGGAAGTTTTTTTTTTTTTTAATCTTTTGTTGGCATCCCACTGAGACCATGTTCTGTGAATAAACTCCGAGAATCACTGCCCAAATTATCAAACAATCATTGTCTTATATTCATGTCCTTAGATTCATGAAGCAGGTAAATATTTAGAAAAATAATTTTAATATGACAGTTAATTTGTTTTGAGATTTGCTGTTTCAAATATGAAGAAATTCAATTAAGTGGAAAACTACTTCCCCTAATGACATGGGATAAATGAGGTATCACTGCATTTTACATTTTGATTATAAATGTAATGTGTTTTCTAGTAGGGCATTTTATAAAAGTAGTCTAATTTACTATTGTATTAGAACTTGGCCATGAAAATCCTTCATAAACACTTGACAGATTAAATATAGCTCTTAAAAATCATCTCAGATGAATAATCAGGTACTTATTGTGTGTCATTCTATAAAGAAGTGGGGATAAAAGTTAAATGTATCTATTTTTAAAGTTGCAGCCCACCTAACTGATTTATTCAAGCAATCTTTGGCTACTGCTCCAAAAGTTCCACCAAACACATTTGGTAAAGATTTATTTGAAAAGAAATGGAGGTAAGCTAATTCAATAATATATTCTAATTAGTATTAGGCATACAGTGGTTGAGGAAATAGATGCAGCTATCATAACTTTGGGTGCCAACATCAATGAATTCACAGCCCTTCATCTCCTATACTGTTAATAATCCATCATATGTGCTGTTTTTCTTTTATTGTTTGTAAGCTGAGATGATTTCCCCTTTTCATCATACTTTCAATTCTTTCTCATAGGCACACAGAATCCTCAAAGCGCTGGAAAGAAAAGATAGACCAAAAGAGGTAATTCTACCCCGAAATATACATAAGCATGTGAAAAGGCCCATAGTCATAGAATCTTAGAGTGGAATAGGCTGAAAGGTCCTACCACCTAGGCTCCCTCGCTGTTATTTGACTCTATTCTACAATATTTATGCCACATGGTCATTCAGCTTCTGTGTGATGATGTCACTATCTCTTCTGGAAACCCATTTGACCATTAAATAGGTCCTCTTCCTCTGCTAAGCAAGGAAGCTCTCAATGTCCTCTCTGAGCTTCTGGTAATTCTAATATACTAATAAATGTTCTGGAACTTAATGCAGAACATCGTCATAAATTTTCAAGGATTCTTACAATTCACATGAGGAATGTGCTCTAAGTGTCGTGTGGTTGGTTTGGTTTCTTTTCAGTCCTAGCTGGAGATTTTGACTCTAGCTCTTTTTCCATAAAGAAAGGAAGCCAGATATGTTTGTTTAGTATGTAGTAGTACAAATGATACTATCATAAACATTTTCGTAGCTCTTCTTCAGAATGACTCCAGGATTTATGCTTCTTCATAAAAATGTCATGATTATCTTGTGAAATGTATGATGGAAGTGATGGGATAAAACTTTAAGTCTTATGGGTCACCTCCCGTGTACAAGGTCAAACTAGAAGGGATATACTGTCTGCAGGGGAGGAAAGCTATCACGTTTTATGTGACATAGGAGTCTTCATAAGGAAATGAAGACTCAAAAAACGGTTGAATCTGAGTATTTTTATGCTAGGTTTGATGAAGAATGGAGAGTCGTGGAGAAATACAGTAGGGCAAAAGGAATATGGTCTAATACTAATAAACTGGGAGAAATGCAGCAAGGCCAGTTTGTTCAGATTCTTCTCTGTGTCCCCGTGTCTTCAGAGATGAGGATGCTTCTTTTCTCTGGGTATAGGGAGAGCACCTCTCACATGAGGGTCTTATCATCTGCTTCATGGGAAGATCAGAAAATCTCTCCTAGGTTTTATGACCTGCTTCAGGGAAGAAGGGCAGTGGGAAAATCAGAGAGACCTTTCTGCACATGCTGTTTCTCCAATTCCTTCAGCTTAAAATATTCAATATGCCAAGGTTCCATCTTTTGAGGTAGCATGTTCTGAATCCCATCAGTCTCGTAAAATATCCCTAAAAGCATATCCAAGAGACTAGTAACAGTGATTGCCTATGGGGAAGGAGATTGAGAGGTCAAAGGCACGGTCAGATGAAGACTTCCATTTCTTTATCATATTTCAAAATATTAAGGGGGTACAAATGTTTTAGGTCATATGGATCATTTTTGTAATGCTTGAGTCCTGGCTATAGGTGTGCCTATTACCCAAATAGTGTTCATAGTACCTATTAGGTTGGTTTGTTCCCTCCCTCCACCCTACCCCCCTGGTTGATTTCCACTGAATTTTATTTCCCTCTGTGCACTTGTGCGCTCATTGGTTAGTCCCAATTTAATAGTGAGTATATGTGGTGTTTGTTTTTCCATTCTTGTGATACTTCGCTTAGGATAATGGTCTCCAGTTCCATCCAGATTGTTGAAAAAGATATTAACTAATCATTTTCATGGCTGAGTAGTACTTCGTGGTGTATATATACCACATTTTATTAATTCACTCATGAACTGATGGGCACTGGATTAATTCCACATCTTGGCAATTGTGAATTGTGCTGCAATAAACATTGAATGCAGTTGTCTTTTTGATAAAATTATTTCTTTTCCTTTGGGTAAATACCCAGTAGTGGAATTGCTGGATCAAACAGTAGGTCTATTTTAGTTCTTTGAGGAATCTCCATACTGTTTTTAATAGTGGTTGTACTAATTTGCAGTCCCACCAGCAGTGTATAAGCATTCCTTTCTCTGTCTATCCACGTCAGTATCTATTGTTTTTGGACTTTTTAGTAAAAGCCATTCTAACTGGGATAAGATGATATCTCATTGTGGTTTTAATTTGCATTTTCCTGATGATTAGTGATGTTGAAGATTTTTTCATATGTTTATTGGACATTTGTCTTTCTTCTTTTGAGAAACATCTGTTCATATCTTTTGCCCACTTTTTAATAAGACTTGTTTGTTTTTTTCTTGCTGATTTCCTTGAGTTCTTTGTAAATTCTGGTTATTAGCCCTTTATCAGATGCATAGTTTGTGAATATTTTCTCCCTTTCTGTAGGTTATCTGTTTGCTCTGTTGATTGTTTCCTTAGCTGTGTAGAAGCTTTTAGTTTAATCAAATCCCATTTATTAATTTTCATTGTTGTCATGATTGCCATTGGGATCTTCATAAATTCTTTTCCTGGGCCAATATCTAGAAGAGTTCTTCCTACATTTTCCTCTAGAATTCTTATGGTTTCATGCTTAGATCTAAGTCTTTTATCCATCTTGAATTAATTTTTGTCAGTGGTGAGAGATAGGGATCCTGTCTCTCATTCTTTTGCATGTGGCTATCCAATTTTCCCAGCACTATTTGCTGAATGGGGCTTCTTTTCTCCAATGTACATTCTTATCTGCTTTGTCAAGATCAGTTGGCTGTAGGTAGATGGTTTTATGTCTGGATTCTCTGTTCTGTTCCATTGGTCTATGTCTCTATTTGGGTACCAATACCATGCTGTTTTGATTACTATAGCCTTGTAGTATAGTTTGAAATCTGGTAATGTGATGCCTCCAGATTTGTTCTTTTTGTTTAAGATTGCTTTGGCTATTTGGGCTCTTTTCTGGTTTCAAATGAAGTGTAGAATTACTTTTTCTGGATCTATGAAGTATGACTTTGGTAACTTGATGGGAATTACATTCAATTTGTAAATCACTGTGGGTAGTTTGTACATTTTAACAATGTTGATTCTACCTATCCATGAACATGATATGTTTTTTTCCATTTGTTTTTATCCTCTGCAATTTCTTTCGTCAGGGTTTCATAATTCTCCTTGTAGAGATCTTTCACTTCCTTGGTTAAGTATAGTCTTAGGTATTTTATTTTCTTTGTAGCTGTTTGAATGGTATTGAGTCTTTGATTTGACTCTTGCCTTGACTGTTATTAGTATATAGAAATAGTACTGATTTATGTACAATTGATTTTGTATCTTGAGACTTTGCTAAATTTATTTATCAATTCCAGGAGACTCTTGGTGGAATCTTTGGGATTTTCTATTAACATATATAAGATTATATCATCAGTGAAGAGTGGTAGTTTGACCTCCTGTTTTCTGATTTGGATACCCCTAATATTCTCTTGGCTGATTGCCCTGGCTAGGACCTCTAGCACTATGTTGAATAGGAGTGGTGACAGTGAGCATGCTTGTCTTGTTCCAGCTCATAGGGGGAATGCTTCGTCTTTTCTCTATTCAGTGTGATGTTGACTGTGGGTTTGTTAGATATAGCTTGTATAATTCTGAGTTCTATGTTCCTTTTATGCCTAGTTTATTGAAAATTTTTATCATGAAAGGGTGCTGGATTTTTT